TTACTGATATGGAAATGGTAAATATATGTGCATTGTACTGTGTAACTTATAGGTTTTGAATAATAAATAGCAACGAAATTTGTTGGTACGACAATCGACACAGCTCACAATCAAATGATTACGTTAATATACAGATTAAGTCTAAAATCCACTGGTTTAATTTTTTTATAAGCAAAATGTTTCCTTAACCCTTTCAGGGCAGCATTTAGAAAAAGTTGTTTTTTTGTGTGATTTCAGATATGGTGGTAGAAAGGGAATTAAGAAATAACATATATATATTTATAACATTTTTATTTCCTTAGTATTTTTGAAAAATGGTGGTAATACAGATACACCACTAAGCTGCGGAGCATTACTTACACATTATTTCTTATGAAATCTTTGAAAACAGTCTTTTTTATCGAACAAACATAAAGCAACACCACAAGTATCGCAAGCCCATTTAGATCGTCTTTGATGATCTCGGTTACTACAGAGAGCACAACGTCGGTAATTTCCATAAACCGGCATATGTAAAGACTGATCCCATCTTTTTTCAAGTGGTACTGTTGGCTTGTAGTTATTCACATTTTTCTGTTCCAAACTTGCTCTTCCCTTTTTCACTGTTTCCTTTCCAGCTCCTACCAATCCTGTCACTACAGCCAAACGAAACGCCTTTAGATTCATGCCTCTATTGTTTCCACATCGTTGCTGAAAAATTATAAACGCATTGACTACGCTGACATCAATAAAGTGCCAAAATATTCGCGGCCACCATTTTTTACTCATTCTATCAATTTGGTATGTTTTCTTCAGCATATCGGCTTTGTCGACAAAACCCATGTTTTGGTTATAATTTTTCAAGACTTTAGGGCACGGAACATTCTCCGTTTCACCATTCTTCTTTCTCCTTACTACATGGTCAGTGTCAGACGGATTTTCATAATTGGAACCTAACAGAACTATTCTCTTGTCCATCCATTTGACGCAGGAAATTCCATCATCAGTTACTCGCCAATCAAAATCGCCACGTTTGAGTTCTTTATCGGTTTTAAAATCATCTGGAATTCCTTTTCTCTTTTTTCGAATAGTCCCTGTCGCGTGAATATTCTCCTTCTGCAACTGTCTCAGTAGTACCAAGGATGTAAAATAATTATCGAAATATACAAAATAATGTTTTCCAACTAAAGATCTGGTCAAATCTGTAATTACTCGAGGTCCTAATTCTTTCTCTGCAGTCTCGTTAACTTTTCCCGTATATATTTGAAATTCGTCTATGTAGCCATGTACATCTGCCCTAGTCCAAACCTTGTACCCCCATTTTATTGGCTTGTTAGGCATATATTGGCGGATTGAAGA